AACCTTAATAAGCAAATCGCTGTATCGTTAGATATGCAGACGTAGTTGTGTCTGGCTAGTATTTCCTATATTTTTATATAAATACCATTATCAGTTTACAATAAGAATCCATCGACCCTGAGTACTCAATTATGTTGTTTATATCGTTATATATAGCGGCAATGTGCTGTAATCAATTTACAAATTCTTCGTTTTATAATTAAATCGAGTAGATTCTTATGTCTGTATGGAAAAGGGAATGAGTGCCAAGGAAAGTAAAAAATGAGCTTTATTCTCTTGATAAGATGACTAAATTGGTGTTTGTCGGCTTAGATAACGTTAATAATTAATTACGCAACCTTTGGCATGGTGTGCCAAGTGTACGGAAAGCTGGGGGCATTCCAAGTTTATCACGTAAATCTGACATTATGATAAATGTATATATCACGATGTTTAAGCGAGATTGTGTGAAATATCCCTCGAAAGGCATCATGCATGCGTTGCAATAATGAGCGTGTTGCTTGTTTGAAAAAATTGCATTTCTCTCAGAAAACGTTATCAAAAACTATCCTATAATCATTTCATTCGATCCTCATCTGTAGATAGATAGATTATTTAAATATTTTAGCTCGAATAGCCCCATAACCCGAATAATATTATGGATAGTTTTGAAACTCCATTGGGTCATTATAGGGAGAAAATGTAGATCAGGGTTCTTCGAAAGCAAGTGGTAGGAGTATTAATATTTTAATTACAGTGATACTATTTTAGAAAATTTCATGATTTGCGGTGACCTGGCTTATGCTCTAGTTACACCATAGAAACAAATATTAGCAGAAAACTTATTCAACTTCCATTTATAATAATTTGCAAAATTAGCCATTCTTATTGATGATCTGTTTTCTACATCCTGCTTTCCGAGACATCGAGAGGATGTCGTCTTTTCCTATAACATTGGAGAACTCGGTCGTTCGCGGAAAGAAAAAAGCTATATGATGTACATCCCTCAACCGGTCGAGGGCGCATTTACATTTTCTAATTAAAATGTCCAAATAAATAGTCACGTGAAAATACTCGAGCGCGTCAGATATTAATAGTGTATATGCCCCACGTGTCTCTGATGTAGGAGGCATGCTGGTTTGCACGGTGAGGGAGATTACACGAGAGGGTAGAAAACAAGAAAATATTTGGAGCGTTGTACGTATAATTTATGACACGATCGCCTGTGATCCCAGTCAACTGACATGCTTGAAGTGAAGCGCAGATTCAACATCGTTATTAATCCGACGACACTCGACATTTCTCTACGTCGCTAGAACTGATAAAACAGCTGCGTCGCTTATCTCGCACGTGACATTGTTGGTCGAACAACCAATTAATCCTTGTACAATAACAATTTTTTATTAACTCCTGGCCGAATTAAACCTTAAAGTCACGTAAAGATTTAGATCCTTGGTTAGCCGTTATAAATTTATCATGAAAACAAAATACTTACAACAAATGAATTAACCATTACCGACTAAATTTACAATTAAAGAACACTAACATTGAAATAACCATTCAAAAATCGTTATCCAATTCTGTGTACTTAAATAAAAATTCCCCAGATCTTATGAAATACTTTTAATTATGTTACATACAGTCTGTCCTGACTGCTATTTCCGATATTCAGACCGAACACGTATTTTTACACTACAAAATATCTCCCTTTCACCTTCGGCATTGTTTTAATGTAAAGAAATCGTATGCTCATTTAGTTTATACAACATTATAAATCGTTTACATTTTCTTCATATACTTTTATTTTATCCTTTTCAAACTTTCTTGCTAATTTGCACCATGTGAACTTTTTTACGGTTTTCAAGAAAACGACACAATGCTACTCAAGCTAAAACAGTAATATTACAAAACCGCAGGAGAATGTAACGGTTTAATGTTTCATAATTTGTTATTTATTTGTTAATGATTTCTACCACCAAATTGTTTCTGTGGTTTCACCCATAAAACCCTAAAAGTGTCATACTTGGCTACTATTTATTGCTGTTTTTTGCAACCAAAATCCTTTTGTGCCTTCATCAGTCTTCAAAACCTTAAATTTAAGATAACGCTTATCTTAAACTTATGGTCACATTGCATAATATTACATTTTCGTGTATCGTTTCTTGTGTGGTTTCTGATTAAAAAAACTGTACACGTATACATATAATACTTCTTATACCTGAAGCAATACAAGAAAATGTCAATGCGACTTTTCCTTGTAGAAAAAATAGACAGATCTAATGAGTTCAAATAAACACAAGAATCGACGCATCTATAAAACCCAATGAGAGTAATTAAACAGTTCTCTTCCTTTGAACTCATCATAAAGAATACAAAGAAAACAAAGAAGTGGAAAAATTGAAAATGAATGTTCATATTTTCGCCATATCTCTGCTTAGAAAACCGATATCAAAATGCGGTTTTCACTGATATTCTCACTTTTTCATCTTATTTAATAATATCGTATAATAATGTTCCATTTGAAATTTTCAAGAAATACTGCAAAGTTTATGTTAATGTCACATCGCGCCCTCTACCACTCATCACACTTACTAAAAAGACTCTATTCATGTAAAATCTGGTTCCACGAAGAGATCTCTTTCCAACAAAACCTAATATGTGAAAATCTGTTAACCTAATCCGAAGTTACATTCAATTCCTTAAAGAGATGTTCCCCTTCTCCCACCCCTCATATTTTATGAGCTAGAGCAATTTGTGCTGCATCAAAATGACGCAAAATTGATACATGATTGCTATGCATGTCTTTCTTATGCATGTTTGTTGGGTATATTTTAGGAAAAAAGTCATTTTTCTTCTTAACAATGAATCGTATGCCCTCTAGCGGCGGAGTTAGAAACTTGAAAATAATTTCCAGCGATTTCTCTTGGCCCCTTTTGTTAACAAATTTTTTTTCCCAAAGCTGTGCAATTAACGGTTCCATAGATATGACATGTGACCATTATTAATGGGACACCCTGTGTACAGTGGCGTATTAAGTGTCATTAGGTTCTTTATCCACGCGAGAAAAGTTTAATTTCCGAGGCATTTGGGCGAAGATGGATAAAGAACCAATAGCAGACGAGTCAAATCCAAAACGTCTCAATGACCAAGAAAACCTGATATGTTTTTCAAAATGGGTCCTGACTGTAAGTTAATGTGACCTCTTATGCATTATTCGCGTTTTCTTTACATTTATGTTCAATTATTTCTGATACCTATGCGTATTTATTTGTAATATTGAGGTCATTGTAACAGCTGCATCGTTTCACACCCTTCTTTAAGATTGTTTGACGTTTTTCTAATTAGCCTCATGCATCAAGACTATCGATTGCAAATTTAACTTCAATACCATTTCCTTGTACTATTAATAAACTCGTTAAGCAATTTTTTTTCTTGATCTACCAATTTTGCCTGAATTTGTGTTTTTTTTAAGAAAAATGGAAAATTTCTGTGTTAGTCCCATGAAAAGTCAAGAACGAAGTCATGGGTTTTAACACTTTAGGAATGGGGCTTTTTACACATTTCATATGCTTACTATTTTTAAGTCATGAAGTCGACTAAGTTAATTGAAGCAGCCCACATTAAAGAGTGGAGTAAAATTTTCAACAGTGCTGCTAAAGTATATCATCAATTTTACATGCACAAAGTCAATAACAACTCGTACGGTATCTCCTTACTGTATCACAAAAATGTTATTATGTTTACGGAAGAAATTTCAGATTGATAACAGACAATAAACCGTTAATTCGTATTTTTCATCAGAAGTCAACCTTAGCAGCCACGACTTATCGAGCGAAATCTTGTGAAGGTGATTATTTGCTTTTTTCCAAAAATGCGTGATCTGGACGCATGACAACGTTTTTTGCATGGAGGCTAAGACACAAAGGGGTAGAGCATGAAGCATTAACTGAAGAGTTTTTAATACATCCTAGTCCTTATCCCTTTCTGTGGTATAAGAAAGCGTGAAAACATTCCATTCTCAATAAACTAAGGGTTCGCATGCTGCTACAGTATGACCTTTCCCATTTTTTCTCTGTTATCAGATAGATGCATAATGGCACATGGCAAGATAATGGATGAAACCTATTAATAAAGTGTTTATAGATAAAAGTATATTTGGAAACGATTTTGTTTAAGGTTCAGAAATCACGGAGCAATAACATCACTGCAGCAGCCTACGATATTGCCAAATTTACTACCTTCAACAAGGCTTCTACGAAGGACGTTCTAATCTGGTTGTACTATGAAGTGTTTTGAAGATATTGATATAACACTTCTTCGGATCATCAGCGTTGATAAGATAGTTTTAAAAGTCTAAAATTCTAAAGTAAATACAAATTAGACGACAGTTCCAGTCGTGTTAGTAGTTACTACGGGTTGCGTTTTTGGTCACAGACGCTAGTGTGATGTTACTGTTTTGGGATGTTGTAAATGTGGGTTGTTTTTGTGGTACGTGCAGCTGCACCCTCTGGAACTTGGAATAACACGGAAAAGAATTTTTTAATAGAGAAAGCGTGACCTTGACCGTATCGTCTATATAGACGACACGTGGGTGCAAAACTTATTATGTCAGTGATAAGTTCGGCGAAATTTGGACTTAAAATGTTTTCATCGCAGTACATAGACCTTAATAGTGATACTCTTAATCGCGCAGATACTTGTTAATTATTTTCTGATAATTCCTCTACTCATGCGATTTCCTTCTTTTTTAATCAAGCTGCGCCTGCTACGTCACGACCGTTCTGAAAGGTGATTGATTACGTAAGTTCTAGGGTACGGATTGCAATATACTTTGAGGAAGTTGAACTGTTTGCTTTAATTACCGTGCCAAATCCGCGCTTGTAATACGTGAAGGTGCGCTGTAATTATCGTTGTATAAGTGATAATTTTGCGTGAAAACCCAGTTTTGAAAATGCCACGTGCCCTGTTTACAATAGGTACAAAACTGAGTCAAAGGTGGGTCATTTTGACATCAACAAGTTGAACTATAAATAAATTTATCTCTACAAGTATGTTATATTATGGTAGCTTAAGCACGACTTGGTGGGGTGCTGATATCTAATAATTTTGTTATTGGAATAAAAGTTCAAATTCTTGTGAGACTTAATCGAGCACGTACAAAGTGATTTTTCGCGATTCTCAGTTACGTTGTCGAATGTGTGATTTAAGGTTTTATTGCTTTTTTGAGGAGATTTCTATTGAAAACCTCATTCGGTGAGTAAGTTATTTATTACTGGGATAGTAGCGTTTAAACAACGACAAATTGGCACCCTTTTTTAACGGTGATTGTTCAGAAACCGAAGGTTTTGACTTAAAACGGACTGAACATTTTAAGGACGCGGATCACTGTTAAGTAACCTTGTTTGTTCACTACAGAATATCACGTCTCATAATCTATAAGCCACCATCGGGTTTTTGTTGTCTAGAGAAGCTCACCATTTTGCGTTGAGTTACTGATACGCTATTTAAAAAAAATCCGTTTCTGTGTTAAGCGGTTAACAACCTCGGTTCCTTTTTACACCTGGTCACCCCCGCTTATCCAAGACAGTAATAAAAAAAAGTCATGAACATTACTGCGAAACGTGGGAAGTACAATATTGGCAAACGGGCCATACACGGGGTATATATTAGTTTATGTTTCCGCTGTGCTATTACATTTCATCGCAATTAAAAGATAAGTAACAGCCCTTAGTTATATTTCACCCTAAATATACATAAGTAAATTCGCGTCAACCTACACTGTATTCCTAAACGTATCTCTTTTTGTTTCAGATGGCACGGTTTATCCCAATGCTTCTGTTAGTCTTAGTATGGTTAAATACTGCCGAAGCAACAGATGACTTACTAAAATTATTACAATCTAGAAAAGCGACGAGATATTGCGGTCCAAATTTATCAGAGGTTTTATCGCTAGTTTGTAGAGGAAGATATAACACACCACCTCCAGTTCATGGTGAGTGTCGCTGGTAAACAAAATAACCTTCGATATAATCGAAACGCTCTCTCAATTTTGCCCTGACATTTATGTTTTGATTTCAGATATACAAAGGAGGGACGTTAGCGAAAACAGCGCGGTCGTAGAGGATGTGGACCACCCTTACGCTTCACGCGCGAAACTCGTTAAATTAATACACAAAATCAAACACAGTAGACAACGAAGAGGTGTATATAATGAATGTTGTGAAAATCCGTGCTCCTACGACATTTTAGTAAGTTATTGTGCATAGATAAAGGAGTTTTAAACAGTATTTCGAAGTCGCGTTTAAAGGATGTGTGAGGTGTACAAATTTCGAAAATTTGGAGCGTCGAAAGGGATATGAATGCAGTATTGGAAATAAATTTATATTAGATTTATTGGTAATGTAGCATTTTTTTTCAAAAATGAATGTGATATTTAGATGTGATGCATAATTCTTAAGTTAAAATTAGTACGGTGATTTGTAGTTTTAGTCGTTTCCAAAGTCGTCTTCCTTTGGCTGTTCTCGTAAATCATCTACTTAACGTCCAAAAATTGTATTTATATAGTACAACTTGTATGTGATAATTGCATTTTATGTGAAATTATTTTTTTAAAATGACATGTAAATCACCATACTCTTTCTTTGTCGTCTAAATTGAACTGTCTAGTTTTAGTACTTTTAGTCTCTTCACTTACCCCTTTTTTAAAATCGTTTTAGCTGTAAAGTCACGAATTGTGATCCGTATATTAGGTTAAGTAAGAATTGTGATTTTGAACAAATGTCCAACCAGTGTAAAAAAGATACCAACGTAAGTAAAAAATATAAGTTATTTATTATTAATGGGAGTCGTGTATATAAAAAAAAACACTTCGCAACCTGCAAGTCAGCCACCTACTGTGACTAACAAAAATTCAATCCAATTAAAATGCCCAATGGTCAAAGAACTCAATCGTTAATTGGAAATGTTTATAGTCTGTCTGACATGAGTCTACCAGAAATGATGTTCAACGACCTTGATTTCCTCATTGTTACTTTGATACGTGACTTAAATTTTAATCGCAACTTACCTATATTTTCGCTGTTTATTAATTGCCCCATAGCTGAGGACATATCTAACATTCTCACGTAAAGGCAAGGTCGTAACGTTTGTTTTTTTTCCGTTTTCAAGCGAATTTGCTGTTTTGTGGAATGTTGTTTGTGTAAATGAAAACAATACCTCTTCACCTTGCCCTACATTACAAGTTGATATACCAAGAATTAAAAATTTAGTGATGAAATAATTCTTTTGTGAAACGAGTTAATTTTTTTGTCGAAGACTTTGTTTTTAGTCACTGGTCTTGTGTACCTATCTCAGATTGAGTAAATTGAAAAAATAACAAAAAGAAGCAGAAAATAATTCAGTAAATGATTTAGAATGTTTTCATTAAAACACATTCTGAACCCTCCTGAAGCCTACTGAACAAGTGTAAATTGACATGTCCTTTTTAATATTCTGAAAAATACAAGATTTGGCGAATACTTCAGAATGAATGGCAACTGAAAAAGACGTAGAAATATTATAGTTTGATTGGGAATATCTCTAAGAATGTCGAAACTTGGAAATCCGCTGGGGAATTTGAAAACCACTACAGTAATCTAAGAACCATCTACGATATCTCTGAAAAACTTCTAGTGCCTGTCTTATTAAAATTCTAACGTTTTCAGGTTCATGGCATTTTCCACATTGTTCAAATACTTCAAACCCTTCAATTCGTCTATTTAAATTCCACATGCAACGTCCTCAGATTCATCAGATTCCTGCGATTACCATTCGTTATGCTCATTCTGTAAGAGTTTTCCATTATTCAAAAGATTTTTAGGACATCTTCAGACCTTTTTAAGAGATTCGCACAGGTTCGACAAAACCCTCAAATTTCCCAAATGTTCCAGTTCTCCATATTTATAGTAGTCATGAGTAGTCGGAGTTCCGCTATTCATGAGTTTCCTAAGAATCTTACTATCCCCCAGGTTATTGAAGGTTTCCAATTTTTTCATATTCTTTTCCAGGAATTTTCCCTGAAGGTTTTTTAATCCACTAAAAATCCCATAGCGCGTTCTTCGGTGCTACTTCAAGAAAAATGATCTCAACGAGGACTCTTAAGATTTTTATGATTGTATATGTTTGGAATCTTACGAATTTTAAGGATCATAGTCAACACTTCTATGACTTCCTTGTAACATAAGTTAAATTACGTCCTTTATTTATTACAACTTATTAACGACAAATTTATAACAGTCTTAAAATTGATTAATTTGTAACAGTAATTATTATTTATCACTTACAATTTACAATCACTCAAGCGTAGCAATGTTGGAACCGATTGGAAACGTAATTCGATTTGCTTATATAGAAAATGAAAAATTGTTCTAGAATGTTTCTTAGAACGCTTCGGAATGTTCTACAATTGGGTCACATTCGCCTTCGATCTTTATTGCCCATGACTCATTTTTCATAACGCCTCGATGTTTATCGGGATTTATGGAATATTCGCTACAATATCTAAGCTCAAATTGCTCAGGTACCTCACATTAAGATTCTCGGATTGTTCTTCAGAAGATCATTTATTCTATTGATTCCTTCATTGGTCATACGATTTGCAATATTCGGGAGATGTTCATCGCTGATTTTTCTTTGTTGTTTTAAATTTGGAGGCTTTTCATTCGCTCTTGGGCCATTCTCAGATATTTTCAGAAAGATTTCAGCGATTGTGGCTTCTAAGAGATTCTTGGGAGGTTGAGATGTTTCCCAAACTCCTGAGGTTCTTTACCATATTCAGACAATATTTGACATTCTTCAAAAGAATATCATTTTAGTTTCTTCTATCAGCTCCGTAGTTATGAGGCCCTCTTACAATATACCCCTACGTATACAGTTCTCTCACTACCTACTATCTATTATATTTAATATGTATTTTTTAATACCTCTGTCACTTAGGCTCCTCTTTATTATCCCTCAATTCCCCATGATGAACGTGTTTTTGACATGGATTAGCGCTACTATACCCCATATCTTATGTGTCCCTACTTCCCTATTTTTGTGCTTCTTCTAGCACCTCACTGATTGCTGTCATTGTTGACTTCCCCTGTGTAGATTTCCCTTTTTTATCAAGTCTTCTTTTAGTCTTGCCCTAATTAGGGCTTTGTAGACCTTGCCTATCACGTTTAAATTTTGTCCTTTCTTCCTCTGGTTTCTTACGTTTATCTGTATATCTTGACCTCTTTGGGTATGTTCAATAGCTCTTCCTTAAATTCCTCGACCTCTTCTCTCTTTCCGTGGAAATGCTCGTTCCCTTTCCTCTCTAGACGAATAGCTCTTTCAAAATTGCTTGTTTCTCGTATTTATTATGGTGTATTCTAGGGGCATTATTCTCAGCGCTTTGTTCACGAATTCGTATTGGTTTTAAATGGGCCTTTATTAAGCTAATCGACCACTTCCTTCCATTTTTCTTTGTTAGTTCGGGCTATGATTGCTCCCAGTTTCATTCTCTTTTCTTTGTAGGGGTTCTCCAGCTCCCGATCATCCTCGCCTTTCCGTTTCGCAGCTTGGTATCTTCGCTTACACTTGTTTGCGGTGTCTCTGGCCTTTCTCGCTTCTTCCGACCACTAGGAGATGTTCGTGTCTTTAAACCAGGATTTTCAGAAACTCTACAAAAGAATCTGTGGAAATGTGTGCAGAACATCTAAAAAATATCTTTAAAGATCTCAAAAACATCTGATCAATTTTTCTATAATCTTTGAAAAATCACTTCGACTCCAGGGATCTGAGAGAATTTTTAATCTGGAACTTGCAAACTTTTTACTTCTGGCATTCCCCCGACCGCTGTTGTGACACACATTCCCAAATGGGAAAGTTCCTTAAAATATTCATGTATTTCAAACAATTCTAATTTGTCATGTTTTCCCGTCCGTCCTTCGTTAATTTCTACTGGAAAGTGGTATTGATTTCAAAACTTTGGTTAAAAGTAAGTGATAGCACCTTTCTCCACATAAGTGTAGTGCAAGGTGGTATTGATCTAGATTATTTGTAATTGATTTACTATACCTTGGCAGACCAATAAAGAGTACTATAGCAATGTAAAAACGCCTATGATTTTTTTCATAAAGAAGAAAGAGACCTGTCTGATCTCTTTATAACTGTATACTTGTATCGTATGCTTAAAAGAACAAGTACAATATTGAGCTTTTTTTCTTGTTTTTCATGTCATGAACCTTAATAACGTTTAAGTCAACGAAACTCTTCCGACAACCTTTCGATCAGCCTGCATAGAAACATTCCAGTTTGATGAAATATACACAAACACTTATTGAATGCGAAAAGCAGAACATATCTGTCGTGATGCAAAAACTGACGGCGTAGCCTATCGCCCAAGATTATTGCCAAATAATGTTTACGTCAAAATTAACAACCTAATTACAGCAAAGCGTAATTAGATAATTTCGATGGCGTGCAGCATCAATTAAAAAGAAATCATTGTTTTCTTAATAACATGTTTCATTTAGATTATCTTCCAGATGGGGTTATGGGACGTATTGTACGCACTGGCAGTCTACCTTCTGGCTACGTTTACGGTATCTGCGCTAACATCTCCGGAAGACAAACTGCAAATGATGCAAGCCAAAAACGCCACATACTGCGGAAGTGCACTGGCCGATGCACTCTCGCTAGTATGCAGAGGAAAGTACAACACACCTGTAACCAATGGTGAGTTACTTATAAGCAATTACATCTATACACAACAAATTATTTCAGAACGTGACCGGAGAAGCATCTCACCCAATAATAGAAAAAAACGTTATATCATCACGAAGGGCGTTTACGATGAATGCTGTAAAAACGCCTGCTCTTACGCTGTACTGAAAAGCTACTGTTGGGACTAAGAAGAAAGCACCCTCTGCCAACAGATTGACATACCACTGCCACCTAGATGTGAATTGTGATATTGAGTATGTGATAGTTTTAAAGACTCTGAGGAAGACACAGATCTCAAAAGGACAATGCCTGCAGTCGCCTGCAAAATATTACACTGTTTTGTATCAAAGCTACCCTTTTTTTTATAAATTTCGTTTAGAAATACACGTTTTTATTAAAGATTATTCCATGGTGATACTTATGGTTCAGTAAACCTGTAAACCCCACTTTAAGAGATATTTCGTGTGGAAGGTTAAGTACTACATTATCAAAATTGGTTCAGCGTCTTCTTTTATTAGCGATAGTTAAGTAATGGTGCAATTCGCAACCTTTGCACCTTACTTGACTCACTAGTTGTAATGGAAGTTTTTATCACGCTGCGACAAGTCTATTATCTAACAAGTTATATACCGTCAGCAGAGGTGCCTCTCCTGATTTTGGAAACTGATAACATTACAAAACTGAAACGACCGTCCGAATTCAATCTGGATATTTAGGTAATGATGGGATCGTTGAACTTCCTTTTCAATAATTACTCAAAGCCATTAGAAGGCAGCATTTCTACCTGTTCGACGCTAATTAAAGGAAAAGCGAGAGCTAGTAATTTAATGAGTAAGTAGAGTTATATGCCATCTGTCTTCAAGCTAGGTAGCATAGAAGAAAGTAGAACATGGTTACAGTAAAATGCTTTTTGACGTTTTCTTAACAAAATTGGGTAACAGATTATGCTAAACTAATACATTGAAAAAACCAAAATACTAATTGGTTCCTGCCTATTTATGAAATCTTCGGTTTAATTTTTTCGATGAGAAAGGACTTCTCCCGAAGATCTTAGCCATGGTCGGAAGTAGCGAAATCGCCCTTATCGTCGATATCTTCCATCCCGAGTGGAACTCCGGGACTTCGATGCACAGCGATGACGTTGTTCGGAAAAGTCACGGGTTAATGTATCAGTCGCTTGTGTATCGTAATCGCCCTTTCGCCTCTTGCTGGAGTTCCGGCGATCAACGGCCAGTCTGTACGTTACCTTATAAAGCTCTGATCGGCGGTGAGAATGACTACGCGATGCGGGCGTTTTGCTGGACGCAATAACGATGGGACGCCCTGTACGTGTCTTTCAATTTTTATTTTGACGCTGAATGCGGTCGTTAATTTACTTAACTAAGGGCCAATTCTACAATGAAGGTATATACCGAGAATAAGCTATACCTAGAATAAATGACGACGGTTGTGTTGGTTACCATTGTGTCAACCAATGGCATACATGTCGCTATGGCAGTTATTCCAGGAATATCTTATTCTCCGTAAAAGTGTAATTATAAAACCGGCCCTAAAAGCAAATCTGCGAATTATTTGAATTCGAGCACAATTTTGTCTTGTATCAAAAGTGTTTGTTGTTAATAAATTATCACCTTGATTTTTATTTATTTGTTCAATTTATTACGTATTAAAAGGCTATATCGAACATCTGGAAATAATTGCGTACGGTTTCTAAATCTGGTCATGGATAAGAACTTATGTTATCGCCGCGTAAGCTAATTATTTTCACGATAAAAAAACACAGGTGCAGTTTATATTTAACGACACATTAATTTGGAGGCGGAACTTGAAAAGTTTAGGTATATTGCTGTATTTGAGCGTATTTTATTTGAAAAGACAGTCTGTTTTGTTTAATTGTAAAGTTGTGTAGAAGAAAAGTTTAAAGAATTTTATTTGCGTCGTGATAAAAGTGAACATTAAGTCGAGTTAAACGGACGCGTGTATTCCCGTTTACAAAGAAGTTTAGTCGGAGTGCTGTTTTAAAGGGCCTATACTATAATTGTAATTACAACGAACTCAGTGTTATCTAAATCGAGAGAAATGAAGGTCCAGAAGCAAAATCGGCTTGTTATTTATTTCATGTGCTAGTCTGTCTGTTTGTTGAAAAGGTCAATTATGACCGGATGATAATGATTATTTAACTTAAGGTAATTAAAGCTTTAATTAAATTTAATTTATTTAATCGATCGCTTGTTGCATAGTGTATTTTATCAGGCCCTGGGTGCCATTCTTTCTTTTAAGTGACTTGAACAATTTAAATGGGTATTTTAGTGTTTAATCGAGCCCAAATTACGGAATCAGGAAAAAAAATTTTCTTATAGAACGTGGCCTGTAGAATCCATAATTTCAAACAGTTCCCAGATTGGGCTACTAGTTCAAAAGTTACAGCCCTTTGAATTTTCTTTCGAAATTGGTTTCTAGTCTATCACTTTTGATTGAGAAGTCTGATTGAAAAAGTACGAATTGTTTTGGATTCTACGCACCAAAATTAATAAGAAAAAGTGTTTTCCCGAGAAATTTTGGTGCAGTCGATTTTTGGTAAAAAAGGAAGGTTATACACTGCCTTTTTTTTCGGGCCTCAAAAAAAATTGTCTCAGATTCGGAGGCGATTAAAGCTGCTGAATTTTTCAAATGTGTATCCTGTGTGCTTCCAATTTTGCACAACGAACCAGTGAGCAATGCTTTTCGCATTTAACACCGGCGTAGGTACTCTGTATAAACTGCCTACATGCCTACGTGCCCTTAAAACCGCAACATTACAAAATAATGTCATATGTCCCGGCTAAAATCATGTGCCCTTTACCCTATGAAATTTACGAATTATTGAAAACACTGAGAAAAAAATCAAGTTGGTGAAAAAAGGAAACCACAGAATTGAGAAGATGGGCCAGTTTCTAGTGGAAAAAAAGGTTCGTTGCAAAATCGAGAAACATGTAGGTATCTACTTGAATGGCAAAGAACTAAGTTGTGGTTTTCTGTAATAGCGATCGATTTCGGGTTTCAGAGCCCATCATCCGGCTAAATCTAGGTTTAATATTTGCAAATAAGCAACATAATGCTCTCTCTAAAATGTAATATTACTTTCTACATATGCTTGTGATTCCTCTTAGTGGCATTAGATGGCCATCTAGTGTGGTAGTACAATTATATTGATAAACCCAGTATCCCTTATCCTCTTATAACACTACAGGACGCGAAATTTATACAGGGAGCAACACCAGTTTCCTTTACGGGGGTGGTAGCGTAGTCTGAGAAAAGTAAGTGATTGCTTTGCTCGCTTATAGAGGTCAGGAGCAAACAATTTTTCAGTTGCTTGCGTAAACGAATAGAAAAGCTGCAGCAATTAAAAGAAACGACCGGCATCGAGGGGATTCATAATTCAACCTATGCACCAATAACGGTTAGGTATCGCCACCGCTACAATCAATATATTATGCTTGCAACTTTGTCTAATTTCTTAATTGGTTGTCAGATTTTCAGCACTTCGCGATCCAGATTTGAATGCATTTTATTTTAAAATATTAATCAAGGTATACTCAAGTTTTAATGAAATCCTTTGTTCGAACAAAGTTTGTTACCGTATTTGAATTAGGTTACAAGTTCCGCCTAACATTCAAATGCGGGTATCTAATATAATGTCAACAGCCCTCACTACTCTTTGCGCTGATTTACTTTACTTGCATAAAGAAGTTCGTAATTGTGTACAATTCCTATTCTAAATATTATAAGATCACGTTCCACTTTAACAATGGTCTTTCAATCTTCAGATTGGTTCATTTTCGCTAATAATGTGACGCGTGCATAGTATAGTAATTACCTTAACTTTTTTAATACAATAAATTTTTTATATTAGCCTGTTCAGTTCCCAGGGGAGTATTTCTCCACAACGAAATTTGAGAGAATGAAAGTTTTCTTCAAGTTTTACAATATAACTTAAGTGGAAATAAAATTGTCTCAAGAGATTTGTATGCGTGTTTCCTTTCAGCGGACCTTTATTACCAATTTTTTCGTAAAATCCTAAATTGATTTCATCGGCCGATACTCTAATTTTTTTGATACTGCCTTCTTTACAAGTTGAAACAATCGTACAAGCTACCTCTATCGACATGAGGCCCAATAGGTTTGCTTTTGTGGTTCCAGTTTCATTAGCAAAATTTTATTTGCCCATGCTATCGCTTGAGTGCGCCAGTTTATTATTAATCAGGCTCCTGGTAATTTGATTTATTTAGTTGTCAAGTATCTTGTAAGTACATATCTTACCGGTAATCTGAATAATTCAGGTATTCTTCTAGGCAATGTGTCTAATTAAGGGAAGGGCACATTTTTATACAGCCCCTCCTGATGGCAGAAGTAGTTTCCTTTTCCTTAGGTTTTAAAAGAAAATGCATCCCAAATTTATCACAATGACCAGCCATTATGAATATCTCCTAAACAGACTCGGTATTACACACATTGTCTAGGTATTGTATAGAATACCTGAATTATACAGATTGCCAGTAACGCATACAAAGATGTACTGAAGATCAGATTTCAATTTAGTACGACGAGGATGCGGTACTTAGCGTAATTAACATTGTATAGGTACATAAGCTGCAAACAAATTTCATCAACCCTCATCGATATCCTTATCCTCAAGACTGTATTATATGCAGCTTGGGGTACGTCACGGAGACAATGAACAAGAAACGAGTAAAAGTTCTCCAATTACAGAAGTTGCAGCAATCAGTTCATTTAGAAGTCGCCATCTCCACCATTATTTTTAGATAACTATGCTATAACGCATTTATGTTGCCGTGTGCAAAATCGTCTGCCATTTCAGAATTACACGGTCCTGTAATTTGTTTGCTTGTTTAAGTACTTCATCCCGTGTTACGTGAATGTGCTTTGACCACCACCACCGGCATAATAGTGTATGAATTAAGATTATAATAATGAGAAAACTTTAAACATAACACCCAACACACTTTGACACACTTTCCATGGAAATCGGTAAGTTTTCATTATAGTTTCCCAGCATCATTTCTCTCATACCTACCTACACGGTAATTTTAAATTCAATGGAGATATTGAACTTAGAATAGGGGAAGCCATACTCTTTTCTTTTTGTTTATACTCCGTTTCTGACGTCCTTATTAGCCATTTGATTATTCCTTGCTTTATGGACAGTGTCGAGTATTGAATTGTTGACATTTTTATACTGTTCTTCTACACCCTCTCTTACCTCCCTTGTTTGTAACTAAAAAGTTAGACGATTCTTATAA